AGGCCCTGCAGGACTGTCTATGGGCCATTAGCGTGCAGGACCGTTCCCGACCGCTTTAAGCGATATTCAAAGGGACCCTACGTGCTGAATTCTTTCTTCTTTATTGTCAGCACAGAGATCGATTTATTTGAAAACAATATATATGTATTTGGTCATACTTGTTGCTATACAGAAAAGCAAAAATTATTATCAAATGATATCACGAAATCGGAATAAAAGTTATGAATAAATTATTGAAGAAGAAATGAGACAGCCTGCAAGGTGAACATTAACTGAATTGACTACCCCGCCCTCCCCCGCCCACTAAAGGGCCCTGAAAATTTTTGGTATTTTAAATGGTGAATGGTGCCATTTGGTATGGTTTAGAACTATGATTCAACTAGTGAAAGTATTATTTCAAGAGGTGAGGTTTTTTTTACAGAAATTAAAATGGGGGCGTCAGGAGCCCCCTGACCCCCTCTAAATCCAACACTGACAAGGTATCATTCAGTAGAAACTCCAACCAATTTCTAAATTTCCATGCATAAGGCATGATATTGCCCTTTCATTTCCAAATTACTCTCCCAAGAATGCATTCTAGACCCCCTCAGCATACCTCTCTTAACTCTAGGGGTTATCATAACTAGGGCAGGTAACTACATGGCCGGGCTGGTAACTTTTCAGAGTTACCTGCCCGGCGGTCTGGCTAGTAATTTCCTTGAATTTCATACACTGCTATTAGTGGTCATTGTCATTCCAAGAAATTCTGATAATGCTGTTATTCAGTTTATAGTTGTTTTATATTTTTTAATTCATAATGCTGCTTTTTACATGACACAAATATTTTACACGGATTAGGTTTTTTTAAAAAAAAATGTTTGATTCCATGCAATGTTTGATTTTAGTAAAGAGGATATTTATGCTGAGGCAACCAAGGCACTTCGTAATGTGGCCAGCCCAGAAAAAAGACAGAAATTAGAGGCAGGGAAGGAGGACTTGCCTCTAATGCCAGACTTCTCTGAACTAGTCCTGTATATTTATGAAAAGGTAGGAAGAAAAAGGTTGACAGTCTTACACAAATACTATGAAATATCTGTGTTTAATGCTGTTATTTAGATTTTTATTGTATAAGTACTTTATTTAGAATAAAATGATGTATGTAGGGGGATGTTAGATTAACCTTACATGCAAAAATGATAAACAAGGTAAAATAATAATTTCAGGGAAACCAGAGAATTAAAAGCTCCCAGAAATATGTGACTGGTAACAAAGTTCTTCCCTTCAATCCAAGTGCATTTGGAGAGGTAAGATAGCAACACTGCATGTAACAAGTCTAAAACTAAGAATATCTTTTTTAATACAATTATAATGGAGTTATTGAAATGGCAAAATGTTGAAAAAAAATAATCATGGCATAAGGAAGTAATGCTTTAGTTACCTACTTTTTTATATTTTTATAGTGCATACAAGGTAACATAAAACATCTCCATATCTCTCTGCAGTACTTAAATAGAAAAAAACCTCATTTGGCACACGATCTGTTTTGTTTCAGATTTTGCTCTACCTGCGTATGTGTCTTGCGTACAGTGCTGGGCTGGTACCAGACGTGGAGTCCACTGTTGCTATGCAGCGCCAGTCTCCTGCTATATCCAGGGTGGTCCACCAGCTACTGATAGACAAACCTGGAGACAATGGTCCTGTACACGTCTACATCAAGTTGATGAAACAGTTGTTATCAGCCATAGGAGGTAATCTAGTTGCTGCATGCTCAAAACTGATAAAACAGTGAGTTTTTCTTAACTGGGAGGCTAAATACACTATGTTTGAATTCACCAATCTATGGACTTTATTGCCTGAATACAAAAATTATCAACTTTTCATAGGATGCTCAGAACTGTTGAAGGAAGCATGAAATTCCTAAGTCTTAGTCACTGTGCTTTGAAACCTTTTTCAGTAATTTGCTAAATGATGTACTTTACATTTATTAAGGGTGGTTTTCTATAATTTGGTCTCGTTAAACTTTATTTACCAGTATCAGGTGTTGAGGTCCTCCTGTAATGTACTTTACATTAATTAAGAGTAGTTTTGTATAATTTGGTCTCTGTAAACTTAATGTACCTGTATCATGTGTTCAGGTCCTCCTGTGATGTACTGTCTCACTGAGGTGGTGGCCGGGGCTCCCAACAAACTGGCCTCAGATTTCACTGACAACATGGCCTGGATCAAGGTGAGATACTAAACATGCTGGAAAACATCTAGGTATGGTGGGAAGTTGTTGTATAGATATTTTCTCTCAAAATATTGCTAGAAATTAGTAATTTTTACTTATTTTGAAAAAGTATGCCAAATAATGCAGAGCTTGTATCATCTTCTTTAAAGTTCATTGTAACAATTGTTTTGATGTTATTTCAGACTTTTCTGTATTCCACCAGAGAAGACATGAGGGAATTTGCTGCCCAGTTGTATGCTATTGTGGTGTCTTCAGCAGTTGAAGAAAGCAAAATACCAGAAATCTTCAATGAGCTTTTACAAAACATGAAAACAAAGGTATAATACAAACCAAGCAGCCTTCTACTTTGCAACTTAAACTGTATGTTTTTAGGAAATCATTTCTTGAAATACTTACAGTACTTATATTTAAAGTTAAGTTATTTGGTTAAAAAATGCCTATTACCTTCTTCTCTTTCTGATAATGACAAGGTGTGTCTAAAATATATGTGCACACACAGATAATCTCAGATAAAACATTCCTTATAATTGGTGTTTGTTGTAGGGCTTTGAATGCCAACATGGCTCCATGCTTGCTTTGGCCTTCCTGATTGGCCGCCAGATGTACAAGGCCAAGGGACACCATGGTGACATTGCTGTAGAAGATATGGAAGTGGACAGTAAAGCAAATGGAATTGAACTCTACAGAGAAGCTGTGGAACAAATAGGTACTCACAGTTTAATTTACCTACTAAATAATGGAATACTGTCATGTACCTGGGAGAAAAAATGATCCTTATAGTGCACATTGGTAAGTAATTGCAATTTTTCTCTTTAAGCCAAGAATCTCGACTCCAGGGATGTTGCCATGGTGATGGGTGCTTGCACTGCTATTGGTGAAGTTGGCAGAAATGGCAGTCTCCCAGTGGCTGATGGTGAGGTGAAAGAGAAAGAGGAAGACTCTGCAGTCAAGGATGAAACTGTGACAAAGCTCTCCATTGTAGATTGTTTGATTTCCAAAGTGCAGGCCACAAAAGAACCAATGAAGGTGAGGAATATCCAATATAACACTATCATTATTGAATACATCTTAAAATTTATGAATCATAATGATATACAAATTAAATAAACAACAGATTTAGAAACATTATTCCTTTCCTTGGTTTAGAATTGCTAGCTTGTATCTTAAATTTAGAGACCAGTGAATATCTTAAATGTCTGATAGTAATATACAGAATGTTGTAATATTTAGGTAAGAGAGAAGGCAGCCTGGTGCCTGGGCACCTTGTGTGTGATAATGATACAGAATGTTGTAATATTTAGGTTAGAGAGAAGGCGGCCTGGTGCCTGGGCACCTTGTGTGTGATAATGATACAGAATATTGTTATATATTTAGGTAAGAGAGAAGGCAGCCTGGTGCCTGGGCACCTTGTGTATGATAATGATACAGAATATTGTTATATATTTAGGTAAGAGAGAAGGCAGCCTGGTGCCTGGGCACCTTGTGTGTGGGAGAGGCAATGTTTCCACACAGACAGAGAGTGATGAAGGGGATGCTGGACTGTGCTCAGGTAAATGAAGACATATTCTCTAGTACTGCTCCTGGGTTTACAAATGTTCTGCTCTTTAACCGTAGAAATTGTACTCTGTATTTTGCAATTTTGATTAAATTTAGGCTGAGATGCAGATGTGAAAACATTGGTAAACAAATGTTGTGTTCTTATACTAGTACAATATAATTCTGTGCAAAGTAATTTTGATGAACTGAAGGCTGAGGTGTTAACACATTGCATGTGGGTGTTAAGATGCTGTACTTGGCTGTGTATGTTTATATATCTTAGTTCTTATTAGTAAAATTGTGCAATATTTCAGTTCAGTTGTGTTAACAGTACCATTGTGGTCTATTTCAGCCTAAGCAGATAGAGTTACACCTGACTGTGGGTGAAGCCTTGGTGTGTGCAGCTCTAGGTAGTCACTCCCCAGTAGCCAGGGATCCATGGACTGTACAGGAAGACAACTTCAAGGTGATATACAGCAGATATACAGGATTGTAATAATGAATTCTATTGTGGAATTGAATCATACAAAACGTATCTTTTTCTTGTAGCACTTTTTATTATATTGAAGTGTGTGCGNGGGCAGTGGGGGGTGGGAGGTAGATATCAGTTTAACCTACAACATGGGCTGGGGAGCCAAGTCCAGGACGTCAGGGCAGTGGGGTGAGTGGGGGGGGGAGGTGTAGAGGGAGGTATCAGGTTAACCTACTGCATGGACTGGGGAGTGGGCAGACATGAGCTTTTTCCATAGAAATGTGGAATTCCGCATTGTTTAATTCCATTATGATGACTCCTGAGATTTGTCAAGAACTGCAATAAAATCTGGTTCAGAGGGTTTTTTTAACCTGGGAAGGGGGAGAGTGTGGGGGAGAGAAGTTTTCCTACAGCATGGGCTGAAGAGCCAAATACAGGACGTCAGAGAAGTGGGGTAAGTGGGAGAAGGGGATTGGGAGTGGAGAAGGAGGAGGAAGGAGAGAGAGAGAGAGAGAGAGAGAGAGAGAGAGAGAGAGAGAGATCGGGTTAACCTGGGGGATTCATGTTTAATATTGTAATTGATGTAATCATACAGGGGCGTAACCAGGCCTTTTAAAATTGTACGCACAGATTTTGAAAATTCCCATGTACGATTATATTCCGTGAAAAAATACACTGATTTTATGGTTAAATATATCAAGGTTGGCTTAAAACATTGTACGCACAGTGCATATGTGCGTATGCCTGGTTACGCCCCTGTCATATCAATCCTCTTACCATAAGTACATTTCATAAATACATTTCCAGTATCTCTACCATAGTGAAGATCAGTAAGAATGCAGGTGCCCTGCTGAAGCCTCACATTCCACTCCTAGTGTACAACCTCCTGGAGTCTGTCAGTGGACTGGAGCCACAGGTTCTCAATTACCTCAGTCTCAGGATAGGAGCCAACCAGATGGCCCAGGAGAAGGTAATAAGGAAACTAGCAAAACATATGGCTCAAAGTGAAGTTTTTGATGAAGTAATGAATCATTATGTCAGTTTTCATCGAAATCTGTCAGTTTAATTATGTACAATCCAAAAATTCTGCTAGTATTTTAACGAGAACATCTCAATAAATATGATCCTCCTTACACTCAGTTAAGATCTTGGCCTGTGTTTTCAGCTTGACAGTGCAAGAATAGCAGCCTCCAAGTCCTCCCCCATGATGGAAACAGTCAATATGGTATGTTTACTTAGAGAAGGCTGTTTACTGGTTTAAACAAATAGCTCTCTTACTATTACACACACACATACACACGCATGCATGTACGTGCACTCACACACAAACACATTGAAATCCCTATAGTATGTGCTATCCAGATCATAGATTTATTTCACATATAATCGACAAATTTTATAATGCAGTGAGAGATTTTTAAAAAGCTTTTACCCCTCAGCTGTTTCTTGTTTTGATTCCCAATTTTAATTTGATTGTATCTTTTATTTTAGACTTGTTAATTGAATTTATTTATTTATTTTTATTTATTTCACAGTTAAATTTTTATTTTTCACTGAAGGGATATGACAGAAACCAATATATTGATGTATATTTTATTTGCATTCTCAGAATAAATTATTATTATTATTATTATTATTATTATTATTATTATTATATAGCTAACCTTAGTGAATGTTAACATATACATTGTGTATTTCAGTGTATACAGTATGTAGATGGCAGTGTACTCCCAGAACTGGTACCTAAACTAACAGATCTGATCAGGAGTGGTGTAGGATTGGGGACAAAGGTAACTTATTTCAGTGTATACAGTATGTAGATGACAGTGTACTCCCAGAACTGGTGCCTAAACTAACAGATCTGATCAGGAGTGGTGTAGGATTGGGGACAAAGGTAACTTATTTCAGGGGCGGATCCAGAGATATTTCTGACAGTCCTCCAAATAATCTTTGTTGATCCATCCTCCTTTTTTGACCGTCTTCTGACAGAAAAAATTAGATGCCTGTTAATGTAAACTATAAAATTCTGTTTATCTCTGTGACGACCCAGAAGACCGCCTCCATCTGCCCCTGATATTTGGCTACACTTAGTGTACTTTGTATTAGGATGTGTCCCATTTAAATCTACCAGTCTCATACCATGTTTTAGTATTTTGGAAATGAATTACACCATTTATGCTAAATGTGAATTTGTGCTCTTCTACAACTTTGACTTATGTATTTTAATATGGTATGCTATAAACATGACTAAATAAATCTATTGTGTACTAATTATTGTTGATTGCAATTTAATGGTTTGGTACAAATGTGTACTAAATTTGTTTTTAAGGTTCAAATAAACAAGGTGAAATTCAAGAAAATAAAAAAAAGGCTATAGCACTAAGAATAGCTTGGTGAGTTTTGTAGTTCTAAATATCCAGTATATATCTTTTATTTTTACTGAATTTATTCAATATTGCGCCAATCAAAATATTTCATAAACTCAATTTCCTTCCAGGCTGGCTGTGCTAACATTGTGATCTCCTTGACTTACCAGTGTCCTCAAGATCTGAAACAGTATGCAGGTAAGAGAATCAAATAAAATTGTGATCTCCCTGACTTACCAGTATCCTCAAGATCTGAAACAGTATGCAGGTAAGAGGATCAAATAACATTGTGATCTCCTTGATTTACCAGTGTCCTCAAAATCTGAAACAGTATGCAGGTAAGAGGGACAAAGTAATGATAAATAGTGAGATTTCTTTATCAAGACAATTAGATTGTAGCCAACTTTTTTGCAAGATTATCATAAATGTTGTATGATCTGTTTACGTTTTTAGGAAAATTGATGAGTTCATTGTTGAATGGTCTCCATGATAAAAGTGCTACTATAAGGAAGGTTTATGCCACTGCACTAGGTTATCTGGTAAAGGTAAGAGGGGAATCTAATTGATGGATATTTGCCAGCTTTTCAATGCATTTCTAATATAATATGTAGTTATGCCTCAGAATTGATACTTTAACTAATTAGAAGAATTTACCAAAATGGGAACTTTTTATATTTTGATATTTAATCATCAACAGGTTTGAAATTTTCTCATTTGCACATGAGCAGAAATCTATGATTAGTGAAATTACCACTATTTTAGGTTTCCAAGGACAGTAGTGTGGAGAAACTTATTCAGAAATTGAAAACATGGTACATGGACAAAGAAGGTAAGACCTGTGGTTTTAGCATTACAATTTATAGGCTAATGTGTAGGGTTCTCTTTTCAAATGCTTTGATTTGTGTAGAAACATCGAAGAGCTCATTTATATCTTATCGTATTAGAATCATAAATATATGAAAGTAGTCAAAATCCAATATTAGAATATATGAAAGCAGTATAAAACTGATCCACACGTTGTTAACTATGGTTATACTATATATCAGATGAGAGCACCAAGTCGTCCTGCGGCCTCACTCTCCAGGCTATTACCCATCATGCACCAGATGTTCTCAAGCGGCATGCAGCCGAGGCGTTACCCATGGCTTTCTTGGCCATGCATGACAAAAGGAAGAGAGGTATGTAGAGACTGAGCTTTTGTTTTTACTTGAATAAAATGCTTATTTAGAAATTTAAGGGTGAATGTTTCAAGAGAGGTTAACCTCTAAGATGGAAATTTATTTGAAAATGTGTATTTCTTTTAAGAAAAATCTCTTCTAAACAGTTGATTTCTTCATTGTGTTTGAACCAATCTCTGTTTAACATATACCTATTATATTGTCTGCAAGTTGTAACAAGTTAAAATTATTAATAATTCTGGAATTACCTGTTTCACAGAAAACCAGCAAGAAGAACCAGAAAATGTGTGGGAGGAAGTTTGGACTGAAGGAACACCAGGTTAATATTTTAATAAAGCTTATAATTATGTAAAGCTAATAAAAATGAAATATATCATGATCAGTTTGTAAAATAAGACGTTTTAATGAAATATTTTTATTTTTATATATTTGAGTGAAATAATCACACTTGTATACGAAAGTGAGCACTGGTCATGTTTGCAATTTGCATGCCACACCAAGTATCATGTATGACATGTTGCATGACACAATACAGAACAGTGCGTTTGTACAAATAGTCATAATATTTACACAATGCCAGCAGACACAGCTCACATGACACCCAACTCTTCCTCCAGGTACAGAGGCTGGGATCAGACTGTACCTGAAGGAGCTGGTGGCTCTCTGCCAGGTGTTCCTGCAATCTCAGTCCTGGCACAGGAAGGCTCAAGGTGCCCTGGCCATCAAGACTCTGGCCTCCAAGCTGGGCAGCACCCTGGGACCACCTCAGTTAGGGGAGGTGATGAGGGCACTCCTCTCAGGACTGACTGGGAGGACATGGCCAGGGAAGGAAACTTTACTCACAGCAATCTCCGAAGTCTGTGTCTCATGCAGGTAAATTGTCTTGGTGTTCATGTCTCTAAAGATGAATTGTCCCAGTGTACATTGTTTATGTAGATAAATTGCCCTGATGTTCATGTGTCATGCAGGCAAATTGTCCTGGTGTTTCGTGCGTAACGGGTTATATTTCCTGATTGTTATCTTTATCATTGTATTTAAATTATTGAGCAAAATTGTTGTATCATTATTTGAAAAGGTAGCATTTTCTTTTTAAGAAAATCAATAGAAAATCCCCCAGCAAATGGTGGATCAGAACAACAACCAACAATTGAACAGGTAATGATGTTCACCTTTAAAACCTCAAACACCTCTTTAGTTGCTAATATCGTAAGATTATTTTAGATAGGCATTTAGTGTGTTCATAAAACCTTTCTGTTTCAGTACAGAAAATAGTATTTTTAATATATTTGTGTTGTACAGCCATTCCACGAAAAAGGGTACAATTCTGAATAATACCTGTCGCAGCTTATTTTCGGTAGTAAAAGCATCTGCAATTTAGCTTTTTTTGCCTTTTTTAGCAGGACCCGATGTGTTCTACTTAAAAAACAACAATTTGTATAGTACCACTTGCTTTGACGGGAACCCCGGGGGTCTATATGCCGCACAAAGCACAATTTCGACGTGTCGCTTCGGTATTATAGCTGATTTGCCACAAGAAAAAGTTTATATTTTCCCGTATTTTAGTGTTTTTAGTCCTCAACTAATTTGAATTCATGTTTCTTTTTATCATACATGGTGTTCTCTGTCGAATTTGTTGTTTAGTTACGTCACTGTCATAGTTTAATCAATGTCGCTCAGTAACCCCTAACCTCCGTAACGCTTTTTTAAGTCAGTGTAAGAATAAAAGAAAATGCTCTTAAATGGCCTTCCTGTGCATTTTGCAAACTCTTAATACATGAAATTTAATAAAACAGTGCTATTTGTTAATTTTGAATGATGCGTTCCATCATAGAGAATGTTAACTCACAAAAGTCGGGGTGTCGCATTTAAGAGCCTAACCTCAGTAACGGACCAAATTTGAAGAAAATGTTGCTTTAGAAAGTTAAAAACATCATTTTTGTTAAGCAAGGACTAACTTCTTCCTAAAAAATTCATTCAATAGTTATGCAAAGTTATCCCGAGGATAAAAACTGAAAAAGAGTGCGTGTCACCTTACATCCGTTATGCTAACCTCCGTTACGAAATAAGTTCATTGTTATAAAAATGACTGTTAATACTTTAAAACGTTATTTCTGTTGTTTTGTGAGTTAGTTCTGATCATAGCAGTAGTTCTACTTCTATGTTCTGATGTAGTATGCATTCATACGGCTTGCTGTTAAAGACATTACCCCGTATTAATATAGATATAAAATATACATATATAGCTGATAATTCTATCAAGATAAGCTAACCATTTAACTTTTTACTCGAGTTTGCTATAAAATCGAGGGTTAATCGTGATTTGTTTTTTCAAATTGATTTCCATTTGTCACTTGACGATGCCTTTTTGAACTTATCATTCTGATTTTAAGCAAAATGAGTAGTTTTCAGGACTGTCTTGGCAAGAAAAATGGTACTAGCTGACATCAGTACTAGCGCACATGTAGCAGACATTATTTTCGCGGGAGACATATGGCGAAATATATTAAGCATTGAAGCAACGCTTGTATTTATCAGGTAGAACTGCGGGGTTATTAGGCCCTATTTTACTGTTTCAGTAGCACATAATAGTTTTTAACATCTTCTAGATGCTTCCAGTAACTTTAAATGGACAATTATCCGCAAACACGTGTCTATTGTCGGCCTACTTGATTGTATGCATTAACTTTCTCAGGTATTGTGTTGTTTTTTATTGCCTATAGCTGCGATCATGTACATGTAGGTTTAATGTTTTGTTATACAGACACCAATATGCCACGTACAAATACAGAGCTACAAAAACACTACAGAGAAAGAAAAAAAATCTAATGACCGCGAAGCTTTTCTTGTGAAAGATTTTGAACGACTTAAATGCATGACATAATTTAGACTATAGAGTTTTACCTAACCTCTGTTACTAAGATTATAAATTAAACTCTTAATCTGGTAAAATATGGAATGTGAATTCTACAGATACATCGATCAACATATTAGTGGTGAAATGTATCCAGTAGCGGTAAATGTATTTATGTAGTCCTTGAAAGAAAGCAAAACAACCCGTTGTAACAATTTGCCATTTATTGGTTTGAATAAACATGTTTTATCAATTTTTCTATGTTATTATGTAACGTTTGTCGTATCTGTAATACTACAAATTCCGAATTCAGCCTCTAAAGTCTACTTTAAGCTAAGGAATATCAAAAATATGATCGCTATTAATGACCTAACCTCCGTTACGAAATTACTCATTTTTCATTTGAACATTGGATATGTGTGTGCTCATTGATCAATGCTCATATCATAATAGATTGATAGCAATTTGTTCATAAACAAATAGTATGATAAAAAAGCAAGTCTGTCCCCAATGATTAATAAAATATTTAAATTGGAATATATCAGGCTTTGTATTTATAGAAAACGAGCCACTTATTATCAATGTGTTTGCACCGCATTTTCTATAATTGAAGAGAAATCTTAAATGGGCAATAATATTTTGAATACATACAAAATCTTAATAATTGAATCAAATATGGAGCCTGTGACCTTTGGCATGATTGAAATATAACCTAATTTAGATGTTACCTAACCTCCGTAACGAAAAAAATACTGTACCATGTTTACACGTGCATATTTCTTTAAATACAGTAATGGTGTGGGTTAAAATTCTTCTACTACTCTCTGAATACCTCTTCATCAAAATAATATAAAAAGTTTTCCAGTTTTGCAAAGTTCATATCACTGCATTTCTTGTTTTGGAATTGTACCCCTTTTCGTGGAATGGCCGTGTTGATAATTTAGTTTCAAGTAGATATTTTTATATAAAAGCTAGTCTTTTGTTGCATATTGCAGATCTTAGACTTCGTGATGAAAGAATGCAAGAAAGAAAATCTTGCTTACAAAATGGAGGCTGTGAAGGCTATGGGAATTGTACTAGAAACTTACCAGGCAGACCGTTTCCAAGAACTAGCTGACATACTGTACCCACATGTTGACAAGGTAGACAGATAAAACTTTGATCATTTTCAAAGACTAGCTGAAATCTTGTACCCACATGTTGACAAGGTAGATAGATTAAACTTTGATCATTTTCAAAAACTAGCTGAAATCTTGTACCCTCATGTTGACAAGGTAGACATATGTAACTTTGATCATTTCTACAGCACATGTATTAGGTTGAATACCTGTTTTGTTTATTTTATGATTTGGCACCAAATGAGGAAAGTGCTTTGTATTTCCATAGGCAAGTAGGAAAAAACATTTTTTGTGAACATGACTAAACAAAGTGTCAAATAAGTTACATTTTATTATCTGTTTTCTGTACTATAGGATGCTAAATCAGGGGAGGAGGAAGAGGAGCTGGTTGGGGAATATAAAGATTTGGTGCTGAGCTTCAAAGAGGTGGCCTTTGAGGCACTGGGTCAAGCATGGCCGGAGGTCAAGGCCACTCAGGGTAGGTCAAGGCCACTTGGAGCATAGACTTCTATGATATTAAGTACGCAAAGACACTACTGAGATAAAAAAACACTTATGTGTATATATACTTATACATTATTAATTATACAAAGACACTGCTTGCATATGAAAGACTTGTGTATATATGTAGTATCAAGTATACAAAGACACTGCTTATATACACTGGTAGAAAGATATATACCAAGGATTTGACACAGAAGAGCTTTGTAAAGTACCTTTCACAGTGATTTTTATATTTATAAAAGACAATTAGATTATAAAAATGTACATTTCTTTAAGCAAAGTTTTCAGTTATTTTCATTAAGTAAATGGAAAAAAAAGAAAAGCGAAAGTCTTCATTGTGTCCATATTTCAGATGTGCATGCAGGCAGGTTATGGGCAGTGCTGACCAAGGCATTATCTGATAGCTATTGGAAACAACAGGTGGCCGTTCTTCATACCATGACCAAAGTCCTAGACAGGTAGGAAGGATGCTATATACATACAGCAGGGTTTTTATTATCAGTCTACAACACCTATTGTATCTCGCTCTCATTGACCTTGTTGTCCTGTAAACTGCTTCATCTTAGCTCCTTCCATGTTCGTCTTACACAGTTTAAAAGGATCAAAAGATTTGATCCTAATTTTTTCTTCTGTTTAAGAAAATATTTGTGGAAAATTAAGTTCTTGATACAAGATGTACTTCTAGAATATATCTTGCTCAGTTACTTTATTATTGGTTTAGATTGCTGATCCTCCAAGAGCCTAGTTTGGTAGAGGAACACAGAGAAAGTCTTACCTTAATGGTGCAGCCCACGGTGGACCCCCTGGTGGACTGCTTAGGTGAGGAACTGCAGTGTTTTATATCATCATATGAACTTATGAAAATTTGATTCAAAGAATGCATGTTAGTATAAGCTGTTATTGGAGTGGAATGAATTTTGCTCATTACTTCCCAGTAATCATTCCATATGTATTTTGTATTTATATAGATGTTATAAAACCAAAAGTAGAGTAGAGAGCCTGTAAAATGTAACTTGTACACATTTAAGTCCTCAATAAAGAACATTATTATTACTAACAACACCTTTGAATCAGAATATAGATATTGAAACAGGACAAAGTATATTAAGAAAGAGAGTGCATAAGATTTAAATACTGTGCCTTATTCCTGTGTTGTAGGAAACATGAAATATTCTACAGTGAGAACAGAAGCACTTGATGTCACAGAAAGGATAGTTAAGAAATTACATGGTGGGTATAGTTCACTTGATAAAGTATTGAAGGCAGTGGAGGCTTTTTTCTTACCAATGCCTTTGGTTTGATATTTAATGTGTCACCACACACATTTACTGTCACTGCATACAATATATTGGTAGTTTATTTCTTAAAAAGCCAACCCTAAACATGTGCCCAGTGCTACGTACATAAAAAACACTAAGAACAGAATTTTAATGAAAAGTTAATGTCATAAAACTACTATTTTACATTAATGAAAATAGTTCATGAAAAAGGTCATACTCTTTTTCGAAAGTCTTTCAGCACTTGGCTTCTGTTTAAAGATCTTTACAATTTAATCAATAGATATGTGTTCACTGGAGAAACTTTTGTATGTAGTGCAGCAATCAAAACTGTCAGCTACATAACAGATGAGTTCAGCTGTAGTACTTTTAAGTCCACTTTATTTTTGACATTTTTTTTTCAGTTGTTGGCCATTTATCTCTTCTAAGCACAGCCCACCAGGCCAAACTAGTCCAGTGTCTGGATAAAATGGCACAAGATTCTAAACCAGAACTGAAAGACAAAGCATCAGACATCAGAAAATTCTTTGGAACTTCATAGATTCTATGTCAAATGGAATCCTTTGTAATGCTGACCTGACAGGCTTTATGTGTAAAACAGATGCATTCATTGTTACAAGATCAGTGCTACAGGTAGAATGTCACTGCTAAAATGTACTGAAGGCTGTCGGAATAATTCCTTTTTTTCTTTCATTTGCATGAGACACATAATGTTAAAACAGCAGCTTAGGTTTTATGAGTAATATCATACATTTTAATTGGGACTTGATGCTCGCATGCATGGCCACAAAATGCTAAATATTTCACTGTGAAGTTTGTGAAATATCTCGATTAGACAGACCTCCCCTTAGCTGGAGGTATTGGAGTTTCTTTCAGATTTATCCAGCTTAACTTACCCGAGCGTCTACCTGAACATCACTTGTTTTCACTGGAGATAATATGTTCTTTGTGACAACTAATGATAATAAATTATTTCTTTCTTTTTACAAAAAAGTCCGATTTTCTTTTCTATAAATCTATTTCTGTGGATAGTGAGTTTTCCACAAAAGAAGTGGTCCGTTTATGATCTCATTTAAGTGTTCCCTCCCAGACAATATAAAACCAAACAAAAAATGAAAGATGTGGTAGATTTGATTTTGTATATCATGTTAATTTTTTCAATTGAAGAAAAAGAGCATTTTGCAATATAAATCGAATGGAAGGTTATTTTCATTTTTTGTATTTTACAATAGATTTCTCTTGGTCCACATATCAATTATTTTCAGTGTATGTGAAAATTGAAAAAAATCGGTCCCTCTCTCAGTATAGATCTAATTAGCAAATTTCGTGAAAGTTCATATTTGTTTAGCTTTTGAATCTAATATTTACTCTGTTTAAGGGACTGAAATGTGATTGCTTGTTATAAAGATCACAAACTATCTGGGGCGATGATTCTGCTGTGATAGAAAGGCACTACTTGGAAAATACGCATCACCTTACATTTCTGCTATTTTCTTCCAAAATGTATTCATCATACACTAAATAAATTGAAACACAAAAATCAAATTTATTAAATATTTATTTTTTTTAATTCAATGAAAAGATAAAAAGGTCAAAATCACTGTTAAAATTTAAAAGTTTGTCTAAAAATATTTTGAAAATCAATTCCAATCTTTAAAAGAGTCGAAAATTCAGTCAAATATAATATACCAAAATTATTTGAAACATTTTTGATGGTAAAACTGTTTTTTTAAATATATATTTTACAAAAGTGTCATATGCTTTCAAAACTCAATTTTTGAATTCCAATTAAAATATATCCAAGAAATGAGAAGTCCGTTTTCAGTCCATTCCCTCAAAGCTGCTGTATTTCAACTGTCTTGATCTTGAGCTAGTGCGCATTCCATGTTTGTGGGAAGCTCTCTTTTTACAAGAATCTGATCTAAAGATAAGTTTGCAATTCCCAGATCGCGTCACTCTCCACTTCACCCTCTCTGAGTCATACGGCTGGCTGATGGGTGTCACTACGATCTTACAGAATTTCAGCTTTAAATGTCCAGAGTTTTCTTCACTTTTCACAGACCACTGAAAGTTGTTTGTTGGGAGACTCACATGGCGTTTGGCTGTAAACATACTTTCCCGGAGTTCGTCAACAGCTTCTAGTGAAGCGATGTCATCAGACATCTGGGCGTCGGGGCTCGAATCAATCTGATCTGAAGGTAGAGAATCATCTGAAGAAAGAACGTTGTTGGTCGAATCCATTTTGACTCCAGGCAGAGAACTATCAGAAGAGAGGGCCATCGACACCGAGTCCGCACCTCTATCGGCGACAGAGTCATTAAATACGTCGTCTTCTAAATCAACAAAAGAACAACCAGCCGGGGGCGACTGGTAAACATCGTTCCAATTTTTTTCGTCTATCACAGGTCCATTTTTATGGAAAATCAGTTTTGTTGAATTACGCCTAGAAATTTTCCACAAATTTGCCTCATCGGTCTCCGAATGAAATTCGTAAGGGTCAATGACATCTTGTTCAGGAGATGTGATGTGCGCTGATGGGAGTTGATCAATGGAGGAGTCTGAAAGCTTGGTGAGTTCCTCGCGGTGACTAGAACTGGTGAAGCCGATGTCGATCTCTCCCTCGCTGGTTTTTGATTTTATTTCAGTGGCACGCTGATGATTTTCTGGCAGGGGCACGGGGACGTCAAATATTTTGTTAATGCAGTCTTTAACGTTTGTTGGCTGAATATCGTCATTTGCTGACAATGTTCCACCTCTGGGGCTGAAACATTTGTTCTCTACAGTCTGTACGTCATAAGTTCCGCATTCATTTTCGTTAATTGATTTTGCAACGTCACACACTCTTTCTTCTGCTTGAGCAGCTACTGCCAGAACTTTTTGTTCCTGGATACCATCATTTAGTTCGACAGATTCCACAACACCATCATCAGTTTTAGACTGTGGTTCAGATAAAACGACATTGTTCTTTTCTGCTTGAATGACGGCGCATTCAGTTGCATCGTTACTCGATTCGTCAACTAGCTTTTTAGCGGCTTCGCTATCGGCACTGCTGTCTGGGTTTTCGGATTCCAAACAGACGGTCAGAAACTCGTCAAAAGATGGGAAACTATCAATGACATCGTCCAAGCGGTTATAGTTGTTGTTATTGTCTGCATATCGCCTGTGTCCACCACTAACAAGGTGGTCGTCTAAACACCTGTACCAAACGTCACAACACTCGCAATATCCACGCTGTTTTCCAATCGAGGCTGCTTGTTTCACTGCGAGGGCACGACGCGGAGTGGTGATTGCTCGCGGTGTAGTACAAGTGCTTTTACTATTCTGCACAGTCGCTGGTACTTTCGACATAGATTGCTCATTCTTCCCAAAGACCACATCGTTCTCTAAATCAATGTAAGGGAAATCAGCAAATGTACTGTAGACAGGTCTAAGGTTCTCCTGAGTGTCCTCTATTTTTAAGAAGTCCCCTTTAAAATATGTGTAGTCATTTTCATCAATCCATTTAAAGCTGTCCTCTATGTTTTTAGATTTTGTATTTGTTGCTTTCTTGTTTTCGTCTTTAATTTTTTTCAATACTTCCTGTAAGGACAGTATTGGTACTCCCCACATCTTTGCATTGGTTAACACGTCATTACGACCTGCACTCGACCGACGCGTAGAGGTCGACTTGAGAACCAGCGCCATACCTCGACTTATCACTGGGGCCTTGGAGCCATCAACGCTAGAAGGTGACGGCGTCTTTGTGGGTTCCACTGGAGATCCATTTACGCCACATTCTGTGGTTTTGTTGGTAACAACAAAGTTCACTTCACGACTCAGAAAGCGTTCAATTCTTCCACCCAGTCTCACAACATCCTCCTCCAGTTTAGCCAGCTTAGAGTAGCCATCCAGGTCGAGGAAGAAAGATTTCCCATTGTACAGTTTAGATGTGAACAACAGCCGTCTCTTTGCAGTCCCCGGTGAAGAAAATCTAGTCCCAGCTGACTTGGTCATTTGTGTAGAGCTCCCCATTACTGCAGCCCGTCTTGCTCCACTCATAGCAGCTGAATGAATAATATGAGCTGAACGACACCCGCCGGCTTCCCCCTGCGCGATGCCCCAGATAACGATATTACTGCCACGCAGGTGCCTCTGTCGCGGGCTCAGGTGCAATTACTTTACACTTTTATTGTTGTTGTAATGTGTTTTCTTTCCCCTTCTGTCATGGTAATAAAAATGTCACGTGGCAGAATTCAAATTGAAGGACTTCATCATTATTTAAAAAAGACAAATGATTTTATAATTTTTAAGGATGGTTGGAATGAAAAAACCACATGACACTGTTGCACACTGTGAAAGAGGGTAAACCATCCATTGTTCGTTTTCCCGGTCCAGCTTGGCTTCCGCGAGTAAAATATAGTGAGGGGCTGAATATAGAACGGGCTTTTAATCATATATCATTTTGAGCCAGTGAATTACCTGATTATAAAATATCATATTATCATATATTACAAAAAGTGATGAATTATTTGACTACTAAATAATTTAATTCGTTCATATAGGATTCTTTTACTGGCGGATACAGGATGTCATAATGGGGAGGGGGTCTGTCCTTTTGGCATGTGTATGGGTCAAATCGTCGTGTTTTTATTTTATTTTATTATACTATTATTCTATTTATTTGGAAACAGGGCTTTCAGTATTTGATTATTAAAAGCAAATAAAAATGAACGACATAGTTTTTCTCCTACATTGATTGGCGATCCAGTCCGTATAAACATCTTATGAACAAAAAATATCTGCGCATCAGATTATAAGTTTTAAATCCACAAAGTCAGTCCAAAAATGCCAATGTTTAGACCGCTGAAAGGAGGGTTTGTCTGACCAAGCTGTTGGGTTGACAACCACTTCAGTTTGCTGATGTATTAACTGGGACGCTGTCAGTGATCAGTGTCACATCAGTTAGCTCTAAACTTGCTCTCATTAAGGTTTACCTGCCAAAAATAACGCTGAGAGCGAGCATGCTGCCGGCTGAGCTTGAAACAGTCACCTTTTCATAGGACTAGCAATCAGCTTGGGGAAAGGTCCTCCTTTTCCAGTAAGATTGGGGTATTCATTGGTTCTGAAGACAAGTTATCTGCGTGACAAATCTTCACAGAAGTTACCTCTGCTCACTTGAACATAATTTGGCAGAACTGAGATTGTCTTTTTCCTTTGCGCCGAGATTGTAATTTAGAGTTAATTTGTTTTGACACCTTACTGATAAATGAATCGTCTTCGGATTGGCACTGAGTTTCAGTAATTATCAAGATCAGATTAACCTGGGGGTCTTAAACCTACCTACATTGTAATAGTAAGGAGGTAGGGGTTATATTGTGTTGTTTTCTGTGGTGGCAACCTACGTGATTAGAGAAGGACAGAGAAGCCGACGCAAATGGTTAATTTTATTTTTTAATTAAATCAGAAGCCATATTCTATACATTTAAATCAAAGGCTTTCTTTTTCAAAATTCCGGTTAATAGGTAATTTTTGATAACGCAAAGCAATCACTATTTTTTCATGAACTGACGACAAAAGTTGTGTTGTAAGTAAATCTTAATTCTTTTTGAATAATGTTGCATTAAAATTAATCTTATCCATTGAGAAAAAGAATAACATTTTTCTTATAATAATTATAAGCGCATATTGGCCTATTGATGAAAGTAAATAGAAATTGATATAAAACAAAAAAAATGTGAATAATGTTATAAAAGCACGCAAATATCATGTACCGCACCGCCAACCGCGACTTTTTTTATGAATGGGTGTAATGATTACTAACGTTTTTCCCGAATATTTCTGTTATTCTTTTTTTGACAAACACTTCAAAGTATGACATATCCTTTACTAAAAAGTTATAAAATTACTAAATGTACACCAGATCAAAACCATACAGAATTATGCGGTATTTTTAATATGGATTTTTTGAATACTCGGTAAATCTCGGAGGGTTATATGAATTATCAATTTTTTTCTTTTATCTATTTTCGACTTGTGTATAGTCTGGCCACAGACACACACACATATACTGTTACTTTCCTTTCTTTAATTGTTTATTCCTTGTTATCACAATATATACAGCACATTTCGACATGAAATAAATGGAATGCCCTCTACTTTTGGATAATATCAAGAATGTATATATTATCGTTCAGTTACATATCTATAGTAAGCTACGAACTACGTAATAATGGATAAGTGAAGGAGGAACAGGTGGATATAAGGATGGCTAAAAGAAGGGGGTGAACTTAAGGGCAAGCAAACAATTAATTTTCAAACAAAGACGAAAAGATACAGCTCAGCGGCCCACTCTCCATTGCATTTATGAAATTTGTTTCGCGCTTGGACTGTTAAAGCAGTATGCGGCCATCTCAGCTGTGAAAACACTATTAAAGTAATTGTTTTTTTCATGGAGTCCATTCAAATGATTCAGCAATCGAGTTCGACTGAAAAGCCTACCTCAGTTGATGAGGTGTGAAAATCACCATTTCACTACCGAGAAATAATTTTCATTATTTCCTGCATGTGCAGATGCTTATCTAACATTCAAAATTTAATATCACAATAACAAGAACTATCAAACATTTTGCATTGCGAAAATGCTCCTATCCAGCAGTTATTTCTCCGCACTAAGTTCAGAAGTGAAGTTGAAAGGAAGCTGTTTCAAAACTGTCAGTTTCAAATAACAATTATTACGTCTGCTGACTGTACAAAACGCCTTGTTCCTCGGCATTGATTTAGTCAGATGATGAATTTTGTGTGTAACCAGTTTGCTATTTTAGATGTCCTGGTGATCACAGAGCACGTATCAAACAAAATAGTGTCTCAGTTTTTTTAATGATAACCTCTTTTTAGGTTCCAGTAGACAGAAGACCTTTACTGAACAGTGTAAAATAACCCTTGGTGACCGGTAAAATCTGAATCAGAACTTGAATAAAATTTGATACTTAAGTTTATAGTACCTTTTCAAATTAAATCGTTTTTAATGAGCTACAGTACCTTAACCAGTAGTGTTGCATATGAGCTTCTCCGACGGAGATAACCGCGCAACTTTGGGTAAAATCAAGCGATATTTTCCAGGAATCAGAGGAGAGTGTGATCAGAAATAATGGCAGACAAGTGAGTTGGTGCGGTAACAAATAAAAACCGACAGAATTTGTCTACGGATAGGATATTTTTCTGGTTGTTTTCTCAGACTTTCTTAGATTAATTTATACAACAGTATGTATTCATCACATTACTTTGTATTGCTTTACTTTGCATTGCTTTAATTTTTTATGTCAATAGAAATGAAGGAGCTACCCTTCCTGACGTCTGTATTTGGCGGTTCTGCGGACCTACAATAGAGAGGACAGGGCGGGGGGGGGGGGGGGGGGGGGGTTTTTCCCCAGGGAAAAAAAAAACCCCCC